TAAATTAAACCAACTTCAAGAAAATATGAATAATTCACAATAATAAAAGGGGCAATTCATTCAGAAGACATAACATTTATAAGAGTGTATGCACCTAATACTATAGCTTCAAAAAAATTAAAGAAACATGGACAGAATAAAAGCAAAATACACAAGTCTACAATCATAGTAAAAAAATGTTACACTCTTTTCTGAGAAATTGATAGAACACTAAGACCAAAAAAATCAGGAGACATAGAAGAGCTGAACACAATTCAATTAGATTGATCTATCTGACATTTATAGGTCATTCTACTCCTAGGTTTTCTTCTCAAGAGAAATGGAAACATATGTCCACACAAAGACTTTTATACAAATATTCATAGCACCTTTATTTGTAATAGTACAAAACTAGTACAACCTAAATGTCCATCCATAAGTGAATGGATAAACACATTTTGATATATTTATACAATGAAACAATACTCAAAACAAAAAGGAAAGAATTGATACATACAACATTGACAGATAACATACCAACATTACACATCTCAAAATCACTAGGCTGAGGGACAGAAATGAAGTATATATGCTATACGATTCATTTATATAAAACTAAGAAATACAAAGTAATCTATAATGACAGAGTTTAGATCAGTGGTTGCCTGGAGACAGGGGCAGAGGGAGGAATGGACTAGAAAAAGGGCACAAGAATACATTGGTTTGTGATAGAAATGTTTATTATCCTGATTATGATAATGGTTTTGCAAGTATATACATATGTCAAAAATGAATCAAATTATACACTTTAAATATGTGTAGTTCATTATACTTTAATTACACCCCAAAATTAAGGAAAATATTCTACCTATCCTAAAGACAGAGTTTCTAGGCATTGTCTGAGTGCTGGTCATTCACAAGATTTATCCAAGGTATTTTTTTTAAATGCACACCTTGGACCCCACCCCAAATCTACAGAATCTGACACTCTAAGAACAGACATTTTACATAAGCTCCTTACGTGATTACTAGGCACACATCTGACAACCAATGTTTAAGAGCCAGTTCAAATGCCACTTCTTCTATGATGCCTCCTCTGATTTTACTGATAGGCAGAGTTCCCTCTTCACATCTCCCAAAGCTCCATTTCAAGGATGGCGACCATGCTCTGATTATAGTCTTACCTTCCCTGCTACACTTGAAGCTTTACAGGGAGAAATCACATGTATCGACTCTGTGCCTTCTTCTTTGTTTAGCACAGCTCCTCACACACACAGATGCTAAGTACAGGAATGGCATGTCTGCTTGTATGTAACACAGCGCTTTTACAGTCTTGGTCCATGCCATCCAAAAGTTTACCAACTTAGATCAGTAACACTGAATGGTACAAACGTGTCTACAGGCTGTAAAGGAACAGACTGGAAATAGATTTACACTTATATAGGAAAAGAAGCATTAGGTATGCCAACTGAGTATCCAAGCAAAAGATAAAGCACATAACCCCTTTCAAACAGCAACCTACCTTATTCTGGGGCGCACATTTCAAATACCCATATCAACCATATCCATCCTGAACGTCACCAGGACAAGGGCTTGGTACTTCTCCAATCCCTCGCTTGTCCCCTTCTGCTCACTCTACCTCTACTACAAATACCGGTCATCATTTATTATTATGTCTGTGTGTGCTGTGCCATTTTCAAAGGCAAAGACAATACTTATTTGCTTTTCTGTAGCCTTAGAAGGAATTCAAAAAAATATTTGACAAGCAAATTAACAAAAATAAAAATAAAAATGATTGTTTAAAACTTGAAAGTGTTCATGTATATATTTTGTTTTCTTCAAAAGAGGCAATTTTTAAATGTTAACAAATCAGTAAGGAAGATGATTCCATTTTTTAAATGTTATTTTCCACTATAGAGACTTTTCTCCTGCTGGCCTATGTATAATCTTCTAAATTTCACCAGGGCTCAATAAATGGTAAATTCCTTCCTAGCACGATCATGACCCACAGTCGCCCCAGTGATGGTTTTAGATGTTCATGCTCCACATACTATCTGAAAAGACATTAGCAGCCTGAGTCAACCCACTGGGAAATAAGTGTGCAGTATTTGGGGACAGGACACCTCACTTCCCTCAAAAAATCTCAAGAAACAATCACATTATGACAACAGTCACCATCCACCTCACAACTACTAAATCTAAGGGTCTGAAAGCAATGGTAAAGACACTGTAACTTAAAGAATTAAAGTAAAATTCTAATAGCTATCTGGGAAAGCCTTACCTTACTCTGTACACAGAAACACATATATGCCATCGTCAACTTAAACGCACAATGACATGTTTTCACTGACTGTTCAAAGAGCGATCTATCTGAACAGCAATCTCATGCTGTTAATTAAGCGCACGCTACCACGGGAGATAACACACTTGTGGCACTGCCCATCTTTAGGAGTCACAAATAACTGTAGAACAAATCGAGTTTGTTTCATTTGGTTGCAGTTTTCATTCTATGTGAGACTAGTTTATTTGAAATTAGTTTCTAGCCACTACAAAACCATGCAACTTATTATGCAGGTAGCACACATAGTAGTTAATCTGTGTCAGAAAGACTTGGGCAAGTCACACTGCCACATCACCTTTCTCAGGTTCTGTAAAATGGGAACAGTAGCCCTACCTCAGAGCCTTGTTATCAAGATTAAACAAAAGAAAGCATCTAAAGTAGTTAGCAAGATGCAGGCATACCATGAGGGTTCAACTCATGTCAGCAAGTATCATAGTTACATCAGCTTCTTTGGTCTCCAGTTATCATTTACCTGCAACTCTAGAAGAACTTTAAAGAAGAGGGATCTACAGCCATCAGCTTTACTGTTTCTTGGAAGTTCTACTTAAAAAGGCAGGCGAAGGGAGGGGCAGGGGAGGAAGGAGAAAACATAAAAGAGCTAGAGAGATGGATTGTACCCAGTCCTTCTCTATGTTGAAGAAACTCATAATTAAAAAACAAGCTGCAATTATAAATGTCTGTGGTTAGTGACTGCCAGGCACAGTTTTAAAATGTAGTAACTATACATGTCAAAACACACTGGAGTCTGAGAACACAGAGCAGAACTTTGTCATAATAACTTCAAGTTCAAATAGCAAAGCCTACACAGAATTTCTTTTCTAAAACCGTCTCTTCTTCCTTTGCTATAGTCTCTCTCTCTCAAATTTTTGTGTACAATTTCCTAGTAACCTAAAGCACATCTTACCACCACTGTGAATCTCTCAAACATATTTGCATCTTAGGTGTCTTCTTACTTTTTTCACTTTGCCATTTCCTGCAAGAATACCTGACATGCTGATCTAATTGTATAACAGCAGTCTCATTAATGTGCAAAAATGACTTGGAAACCTGTTTCAGATAACTGTATTCAGCAAATCACTGTGTGAAGAAGCCTCATAAAACCCATCAAGGATACTGGAAAATGTACAAGGAAGCGCAGTTCCAGGTGACAACTGATATGCAAACTGCTTATCCCCCGATTTACTGTCGTAGTTCTGGCCCCTGACACCAAGCACTCCTGGGAGAAAAATGCCTAGGGTTCCTTCAAATCTTTGTCTGCACAACAAAATAGTCCCATTCATTTATTTTTGCTTTTACTTCCCTTGTCTATGAGGTCAAATTCATAAAGTCCTCTCTAAGACCAAGGTAAGTTTAGTATCTATTTAGTACCTATATTTTCTTCCATGTAATTTATTGTTTCGGGTCTTACACTTAGGTCTTTGATCCAACAGATCATATGACAAGATGCTCAAGTTCACTAGCTATCAGGGAAATGCAAATCAAAACTACAATGAGATCCCACCTCCCACTTATTGGAATAGCTAGTATCAATAAGACAGTAATAACAAGCGTTAGAGAGGCTGTGGAGACCTCATGCACTGCTGGTGGGAATGTAAACCAGTACAGCCACTATGGAAAACAGTATGGAGGCTCCTCAAAAAGTTAAGAATAGAGTGAAATGACCCAGCAACCCCTCTTCTGGTTACCCCAAATTTTGAAAACACTTATTCCTAAAGATACATGGTAGGCAAAAGCAGGTTTACAGTTGTTTGTATGGAAAAACATATAATACAAAAATAAATAATAAAACAAGAATAAACTGTGTTTTGCATGCTCACAAGTAAAAAACTACTTTTGCCAACCCCTGTATATGCATCCCTATGATCACTGCAGCGTTATTCATGGTGCCCTAGACATGGACACAACCAAAGTGTCCTTCGATAGAGGACTGGATGGAGAAGATGTGGGACGTGTATATTGTGGATACTGCTCGGCCATAAGCAAGGATCAAACACTGACATTTGGGACACATGGATGGGCCTTGAGAATATCATGCTAAGTGAAATAAATCAGACGGAAAAAGTCAAGAACCACATGATTTCACTCCTAGGTGGGATATAAAACTGAAAGCAACAAATGAACAAACAGGACAAACAAAACCTCACAGACACAGACGATAGTATGGTGGTCACCGGGGGGGAAGGAGGGAAGGAGCAGTAAAGGGTAAAGGGGTCAAATACATGGTGACAGAAGGAGATGTGACTTCGGGTGGTGAACACAAAACCAATATACAGATGATCTATTACAGGATCACTTATTAACCAATGTCATCCCAATAAATTTAATTTTAAAAAATGAGAAATTAAGTGAAAGCAAAACTAAAAAGTAAAATCAAATGAAACAGCACAGAAGTATTTAAAGTTAGCTCTTATTCAAGAAGAGATTAAATCTTACATAGCTGCCCCCAGTATTTTGTGTTTTCTATTAAGATGCCTATTAAGCTCATTTTTCTGTTTCTTAGTGCTCTTGATTTCCCTGTTCCCTCACAGATCAATCACTCAGAGGGCACTAGGAGGAAAGATGGTGAGGCTACCCTACAGGAATATGGAAGTGATATGTAAATGAGTATGTAAATGAGGTTCAAGGAAAGGAGGCTGGTTTTCAAAAGAGCCAGTAAATAAGATGTTGGATTCTTTTCTACCTGAATTTACCAGTTGTTGTTCCATCACTCCACAGCCAAGAACTTCTAGCCATTCTCCACGGAAGTTGATCTCCATCTCAAAGGAAGGGTGAGTAAAGGGAAAGTAGCAGTCTACCCATCTAATGTCCAGACCTGCAAAGATGCCAAATAAAAACAGTGTTAAAAGGCAGTCTACCCATTCCTGTGATCAAATTTATCCTTTGGCTAATGACATCAATTTCTACATTCTGAGTAAAATAAATAGCAAACAAATTAATTTGCAACATATTAGGGGGAGGCAATAAATCTTAAAACTTGTAAAAAACTGGGTATGTCTTTTCCAATATGAAAAACGCTTTGTGCAGTTCCAGGACCATCTAAAACCAAATCAATCTCCTGTCAAATCCCTGCAAGTACCTGGCAGAGGAAAAAATTAGGTCAAGATCATGGCAAAGCAGGCAATTCTACTAGTTTCTATATGTATAAATGGCATCCTTTCAGAGTTAAAGAAAAAATATTTTACTATATTGCCCTTCAAACTTGCATATCAACAATATGGCCAGTTTAGAATAAACTAATCAACTTTCACTTCCATAATTTTTAAATTAAGTCTATGAGCTAATTAAAAGTTAAAATAAGATCAGCTGAATTTAAGCAAAACATTTAAGAAGTCCAAACATTTTTTCTACAGATGACTGATAAACATACTTGCTTCTAAAGAAACCAAGTGCATGCTAAATGCCAGGACGAATTTCTCAATGAGCAATCATAAATATGGTACTTATAAACAATGATATTATTATTTAACAAAGGAAAAGACTAATAAATTCAAAACAAAGCCTGCAAAGCGCAGAGGCTACTAAAAGTAGAGAAACCAGAGGAGAAGATGCCCACTGTGAGGAACACACACAAAAGTGGGCACCGGGCAAATCACCTATGGTCTGCACCCTACGCTCCTTTCACTCCATGTAATGACCTTTCTCTTCTTTGAGGCAACACTCCTGATGGTGTTTCTCCATGGTAACATGCCCCTCTGTGAATTTAAAATACTGTGTTTTCTCCTCCAAGAATATTTGCATTTAAAACCTAGTGGGGATCAGAATGTGAAATAAATAAAAATAATAACAAAAATTGCTTCCATTTATTGAGCATTTACTATGCCTCTCATCTCATTCCACAGACAGGGCAAAACTATTAGAAAGGCCAAGTCTCGCCCAAAGGCTCACAGCTAGCAAATGACTAAGCTAAACCCAGCTCTACCTAACTCCTACGCTTGACAATTAAAACACTTCTCTTCCCATCAAAAAAGATATTTCAAGCCCGGCTGGCGTGGTCCAGCAGTTGAGCATCGACCTGTGATCCAGGATACGACGCTTCAATTCCTGGTCAGGGCATATGCCCAGGTCATGAGCTCGATCCGCAGTGGGGGGCGTGCAGGAGGCAGCCGATTAATGACTCTCATCATTGATGTTTTTCTCTCTCTCCCTTCCTCTCTTCGAAATCAATTAAGATATATATATTTTCTTAAAAAAGATATTTCAAGAATCAGATGAGAAGCGAATTATGAGACAAGGTGATCATCCCTATGCCCCAAGTTACACAGGAGAAGGTAGTTTTCCTTTCACTGTTCCGTTTTAGTTGCATTTGTTTTCCTAGTTCCCTGCTGTCCAAGGCAAGTGAATGGCTGACTTCTGTTTACAATAGTAATACTATATTTCCCCCTTTTATTACACATGTGGTATAGTAGACAAATATTAAACTGCACAGTGTACAATTTGCTAAATGGTGCCATATGCATACATCCATGACAGTCACCACAATAAATGTAATGAACATATCCCTCACCCCCAAAAGTTTCCCCATGCCCTTCTGTAACCCTACCTGCCCATCGCCTCTACCTCTCCCTTCTCGCCCCCATTAGCCCTAGGCAACCACTGATCTCCCGTCTGTCACTATAGATGAGTTTGCATTTCCTAGAATTTATAAAAGTGTAATCATACAGAATGTACTGTTTTTTGTCTCACTTTGTTCATCCAACATAATTATTTTAAGATTCACCCATGTTGTTGTACATATTAACAGTTCATTCCCTTTCATTACTGAGCAGATTTTGCCAACATTTTTCTAACTGGGAAGAAAAAAGCTGATCCTGTTGCAGGCCAGTGGGAAAATGTCTCCAAGTCCCCTGAGTAGTCCAGGCTTTTCTATACAGAAGCTTCTACGCGCAGAGCAACTGTTTATCCGCAATTGTATTCTGGGAAGAAGGTGTTTGCACACCTGTGTGAATGTCCATCTTTGGGACAAATAATCCCCTACCAATATTCTTATTAAAAAGCTCCAGAGACAATCCTGCTGGCAAACAGAAATGTGTGAAGCATTGGGATATATAACTGAGTGCAGAAGGACTGGCAGGCAAAACAATTATCATTCTTTTTGGCAACTCTTGGCAGGTAAGCACAAATCACCTTCTGAAAAAAATTTAGAAAAACAAATTTTGTGTACATGGCTTTTTATACTTAGTTCAAATATTACAAAAGCAGGAAGAGTACTCAGGGTTAACATGATGATTTCATCATCATATAATTAAACATCCACCTAAATGCCTGACATAGTTAGGTGAGGTTGACACAAATTAATTTTCTTTATATGTCCTTAATTTATTCCTTTGGACAGTATAAATAAATAGCATAGTTTAGATAGCTTTATATTTCACACCCATAAAATCTTGTTTCCCCTAGTCAGAGAAAAAAAAAATTTAAGGCATTAATAAGCCTTCAAAATAATCACAAGTGTTGATTAAAGTGATTCTATCATCAGTNNAAAAAAAAAGACCAAACTAAATCCCTACTGCATGAAGTCTATGGGGAGCTGAGCCTCCGTAGAGACAGGACCCATCTGAGCTGTTGGTATTGATGGTGTCATCAAAGCACAAGGACTGGATGAAAAGTGTTATGAAGATCTCTCTCCTTCTCCAGAAACCTCCTTTTACTGAAGGGCTTTTGCTTTATCACTTCCAAAACTAGATAAAATTATAACTTTGGATTAAAAAATTTTAATGTTGAATAAATTCTTTTTATTTTATTTTATTTTTTCCATCACCATTTATCCCTCTATGCTCTCTTCCAGCCCCACCCCACCCCCTTGAATAAATTCTTATGACAGATTTTCCACGCATTGGCTGCATCAACCCTCGCTCTTCTTTGGGCTAAGACCTCAGCCACCACGGCCCTCAGTGTCTTCTTGCTCTGCCACCCTACCAGTGGCTCTCTCAGTAGCAATGAAAGGTTAATTGTTCCACCCACTGAAAAATAAATTCGGCAAAGCAGAAAAAGGAAAGGAAGTTAGCCAAAGTTTTTCAGAGTCCATGAAAAAGATTAATATTAATGATTTGTGGAGTGGAATTCATTGATAATATCACAGAAAGTAAGACAGAAAACACACATTGTCGAAAGTTATGTCTAACAAAACTGGGACGTTCTGAATCCTTTTCACTTCCTCAGATCTTTCACTAAAAGTTTTGTGTTTAAATCTATATGACCCTGCAAAGAGCATCAAATCCATAAACCACTCATTTTCTCTGTTCCACTACTTTAAAGACATCTTCAGTTCTTCAATTCTGCTTCCTTCACAGACAGGAAAAGCCAAAATCTATGAAATAGCATTTTTGAGAAGGCTACGGATCTACTTCAAATATAAATGGTTATTGTTTCAAAGTAAGTAATATTAATGTGCAGTTTTGCCAAAAAACATATTCTTTTATATATTATAACAATTTAAATTTCAGTTACATTGACACATTAAACAGTAATTTTTAAAAGAAATCACTGGTCACGTAATTATTTATTGACTATTTTTATATTATCCCAGAAGTACACTTTCATCTTGTTTTATGCCTATAACCTTAAAATTATGCTAAGAATTACTATATTGGGTAAAAAAGCATCTTGACATGCATCGTGTATAAAAAGATGTGATACTGAAAAATCAGCTCAAAACCCTACTGAGTGTAGCTTATTTCACACGTCAAGTACCAGAAGTCAGTGAAAAAAATCAACTAAAAACTGTATTTTGTATAATATATTAATAGCGGGGAATTTTTTATAAATATGTCCAAATCATATGGATTCATTGTGCATTAGATTAACCTCTTATTGAGGTGATAGAAGAAAACTAAATGCACATGTATTATATATATCTAATGAAAAATAATGCCAAAGTGCTTTCTTTCTTTTTTTTGTTTGTTTGTACATAATAATTTATTAAAACATATTCACAAGTGAAGCTCAGAGCTTTTTAAAAATTGCCTTAGGCCCTGGCAGTTATGGTTCAGTGGTTAGAGCGACAGCCAGAGCACCAATGGGCCACAGGTTCCATCGCAGGCCCAGTGAGGGCACGTGCGGAAGGCAACCGATCAATCTGTCCCTTTCACGTCTCCTCCCTCTCTCCCTCCCTTCCATTCTCTCTAAAAAATCAATGGAGCCCGGCTGGCTCAGCGGTTGAGCATCGACTAGGGTCCAAGAGATCACAGTTCCATTCCCAGTCAGGGCACATGCTCGGGTGGAGGGCTCGATCCCCAGCAGGGGGCGTGCAGGAGGCAGCCAGTCACTGACTCATCATTGATGTTTCTCTCTCTCTCTCCCTCTCTCTTCCTCACTCTGAAATCAATAAAAATATATTTTTTTAAAAATCAGTGGAAAAGATATCTTCAGGTGAGGATTAACAAAAGAAGAAAATGTCCTTAGAACTCTGTGACCTTAAATCCAAGAGCCTAGAGCCAAGTAGAAGAAAGGGCATCTTAGAATTCAAGTCTCAGATTTCTACCTTTTTCCCTGTAAAATCATGGATGGGTTAATTCACCTCTCTGAGCCCCTGCTTCCTCAAGCCCCCATGGGCTACAACAACAGCTATGCCACCCAGTAGTTTTGAGTAAAGGGCCCCTAGGAGTTCACTTTTTCTCAGGGGCAGAGATCCTCCTGTGCTTCCACTCCTGAATGAGGTGCTGAGTTTGCGCAGGCACGAGGAAAGCCCACAAGACGCATTCCCTCAGCTGGGCCCTCAGGAATGACTGGTGAAGATTTCTTAGGACAGTAATGTGAGCCCAAATGGCAAAGGCGCAAGAGGAACTCGAACTCAACTCTGGCAGGATAGTACCT